CGGTTGCCGACTTCGTGGGTTTATTCCGGCAGAATCACTTGGAGTTTTGGGGAGATTTTTTGTGGTAATTGAAGAGGACATCGTGGGCTTTCCAACGGTATCCGAAATCGGCTGTTGTGGTGGTCGGAAGTTGTCGAAAAAATGCCTCAAACTTGCCCAAAATATCTGAAAATTCAGTGACCGTCTGTGAAAGAAATTTCAAACTTCAGTGACCGGTGCTGAAACTTTGAAACTTCAGTGACCGTTTTGAAATTTTTAGGTAACTTCAGTGACCATTTGTGAAATTTACCCTAATATAAAAACATAGTAAAGTTAGAGCATTTAATAAAGTTCAAAGCCTGGATTATCTTTTTCTTTTCTACTCGACAATTTTTTTTATTAATTTGCTCTTCTTCCCATTAAATGAAAAAGATAATTTGAAAATATTATAAGTTGTAACCATTTTCGCAAAGGAACTTTCTCTTCAAGCTATTTGAAAAGTTAGTGTTTCAATTTTTTCGCTTACATTTGAGATTTTATCTTTTTGAGATATCTCACCTTCTCAATAAAGTTACCTGTCCTATAATCTACATCTCAAAATGAGCCTTGCCACGAGATACGTTTCGAGTTGGGTTAGGGAAAATACCCGAGGACTGAGTGATTGCTTTTGTGGCTCCATGCGTGCTCAGAACACACAACAAGAACAATATCAATAAAGACTTTCTTTATTACTTTCCTTAAATGGCAAAGTAGATGATATGTGGTGGTTTATGAATTGCATTCTCAAGAATGGAGCATGTCTGTCTCATTTGTATGAGATACAACAAATTGCAAATGCTAATGCATATGATTTGGGATATGCATCTACATCTTTTTGTTTTTTTTGACACGAAGGTTCATGTTATGTACAAACTAGGTTCTTTCAACATTCCTGCCTAAGCAAGAACTAAACTGAATGAGGTATATCATTGGAAAAGTATGTGGAAGTCGTCATTTTAATTTCTGGGGAACTTAATGTTGGAATGCTTTTCTGTCAATTGTTTCTGGTTTATGATATGTTCATTAAACTGCTTAGTTTGTCAAAGACATCTGGAAGCAGATTCTGTTATTTGGATTATGACTTATAGATTCACTTCATTTCGAATTGATGTAAAGAAAGGTACAAAACTTCGGATTGCTGATTTTGTCCATGGTACCGATGGACCGGGAAACCAAAACTTTCCTCCACCTAAAGGACAGCCGATTGAACTGTCTGCTACTGATTTTCTTATCCAGCAAGCTAATCTTTATCCTGGAAAGGTCAATGTGGTGGCCTTGGGTCCTCTTAACAAATATTGCACTGGTCAGTTTCTTGAATCTTGCAATCCATTTTGAGTTCTTTTGGAAACATTCTCACTGGATTAATTGATTGATACGGGCTACACAGTCAATTAATCAAAACGAGGGACGAAAAAGGATCTAGCTGACTCTAAATTTATTTAGGGCATGTTTGGTATGAGTTTTGATTTTCTACAGTAAATCAATTCTCATTTTCAACCACACATTTTTCAATAAAATAATATTTTCCATCACATCAATAATTTTTTCTTTTTTTTCAACCACACATTTCCCATCATATCACTATTCAAAATCAATTCTTCCCCCAAAAATCCCTCCCAAACAAGCTCTAAATATTTCTTCACAGGTAAGTTAAAAATTCAAAACATGTTTCACAGCAAGGTAATGATTATTTTTGTAAAATTTAATTATTTTAACTTGAAAAA